ATCTGTGTTTATTGCTGCCCAAGCTTGTCTGTGCCTGTTTGCTGCCAAGGACCTGCCTGTCTGTTAATTAAATGCCATAACTTATCTGACTTCACATGTTCTTCCTTTCTCAAACAACAGCAATGCTCTACTAATACCTTATTTTCATGCAGTATTTTTCCTATTAGGCAGGCTGATTTCGGTCTAGTGTTTTAGTAAAAAAAATGATATTATATTCTATTATAAAGCTAGGTGGGTCAGTGGTTAGAAGGCAATATTGCAGGCTACTTTTGCTGACTTCTGGCTGCCAGCAGTTCTGCAGTTCGATTCTCACTGGCTCAAAGTTGATTCAGCCTTCCATCCTTCCAAGGTCAGTAAAATTGAGAGGGCTCTAAAAGCATTGCTAAACGGTATATAAGGCTAAGTGCTATTGCTATTGCTACTTCTAAATTTCTGGCATTGCTCATAAATGACAGCTAAGGCAACCATGAATTGTCTGGAAAAAGGGAGAATTATCAGGGCTTCCAGATCTGGGTTGTCAGTGCCAAATGTGTTAGATGGCCCAAAGAGTTAGGAGTTTTCTGTAATTTTTTACTCTTGTCTATTGGTTATCTAGATTTTGCACCCTAGGCTTGGGAAAAAACCATGATCCGTCAAATGCGCGCCCGACAAAAGCGCACCGACAAAACCGCGGTGAGAAACCCATGATGTCGAAAGCACTCCCACAAAAGAGCGCTGACAAAACCGCGTCCACAAAAGTGTGATTAGGGTTAAGGTAAGGGTTAGGGTTAGGGTTAGGGTTATTATGTTGTTTTCGTTGTTTTTTGATGGCGCACTTTCGTCGGCGCGCATTTGTCGGCGCGCTTCTTTGGCCGCGATTTTGACCTTGCGGTTTTCTGGCCACAGTTTTGTCGGCGCGCTTTTGTCGAGCGCGCATTTGTCGGTGAACTGGAAAAAACAATTTAGTCAACAGTTAATTTTAAACCGAAAGCCCAACCAGAGGTTTGATGATACTTTCATGAAGAGTTCATCTTCTGGTTTTGGCAGAAAATGTGATTCCAGTTGTAATGTCAGCCTTTGTCTCTCCTTAAAAATTACCTTACTTTTTTTTTAGCCACTTTGAGAATTTTTTTTTTTAACTAGAGGAAGCAGGGACCTAACTGTCTGCATAAGGAGCACAGCAGACACCACCACAGGAGGTAGCACAGGAAGGATGATCAGACTTGCGTAGAAATAGGGCACCGAAATGCTGACAGTCCCAACTTGTCACTCTGTTCAAGGTTCACTAGGCACAGTGTATGGCTGTGAGTTGAAGGAGTTCGTTCTCCATAAAAGAAAGGAGCTTCCTGGGGTTCCCTAAGCAGGAAAGTTACGACTATGTGTATGTAGGCCACGACAGAGTAAACAAGGGCAACCCGAACAAAATGCAGTTAAATTCATTGCGAGAAATAAAACAGATAAGCAAGAATATTTATTCTTACCTCATCATTCCAGTTGAGGTCCCAGTAGCCACAGAATGACTGGCACCTGAAAGGAAATAAACAAGGCAGAGCAGGGATATGTTTAGTTCAACTCCCTCCAATTCTGCCCAGCATACCAAGGAATTGTGGGCGCCATTCTCAAAAGTATTTGGAAGATGTCTTTGAGTAGCATATTAAGAGGGAGGCTTGTCTAACTCCAGTATTCCCTAATGCGGTGTTTTCCAGATGCCTTTGTATTACAACATCCAGAATATAACCAAGTGTCCAGCGAGTATCAGGTACAGGAAGGATGTTCTAGGAAGTTCTAAAACAGGAGTGTCAAACTCGTGGCGTCACGCTTTTGTCACATGACGTATTGTGACTTTTCCCCCTTCGCTAAATTAGGTGGGCATGGTCAGAGCATGACCCATCCAGCCAGTGGTGGGTTTCAAAAAATTTTGGAACCTCTTCTGTAGGTGTGGCCTGCTTTCTGGGTCCCACTGGTGGAACCTCTTCTAACCGGTTCAGTAGATTTGATGAACCGGTTCTACCAAATAGGTGCGAACGGGTAGGAACCCACCTCTGCATCCAGCCCACAGACCGCGAGTTTAACACTCTTGTTCTAAAACAATATTTGGTCAAATGCAGGACTTGTAGATGTCATAACAAGCGGATCACAACAGAACGATATCCTGACATTCTGAAAAAAGTGGTTAAAATCAGTCTTGCAATGCATGTGTGTGTGTGTGTG